ATCACCTGTAACTTGTATGTTCGATTTCTCGGGTGCACTGAAGAGATGAGACATGGTTAGGTGGAAGTCTAGAAAGTCTTTGTGTCATCACATTGCAATATGCTCATTTGTGTATATAACTATTCAGTTTATGGTTAACTATATGGTTGTTTGGAATCTAGTATTTCTGATTGTGAAGCTTATTCTTCATTCAGTTTATTGCCACAGGAGTGCTGTTATTTACAGTCAGATTGAGACAGCCAGAGAATAACCCAAGTGAAATGCATCCTGTTCTTTATATTCTATTGACCCATCCTTTAGTAGTATGAAGTTGGACAGGATCCAGTGCAGAATCCTTTTATAACGTCTTTATTCTCTAGGAAGCCTTCTGCCTAGGAAGATATTTAAAGCCTTCTCTCTAGGATAACCTGAAGACCTTTTCTTCAGATGGTTTTCAGAAGTTTTAGTGTAGTTAGGAATCAAGAAGTTAACTAATAATCAGGACCACTATGCACTGTGCAAGGAGACGCAACCTACTATTTTTATCGTCGTCTACTGCATGCCGTTTCTATCACTTTTTAAGTCGTAGCATACAGCGCTGTGTCTTCATTTATCCAGGGAAGAATCCACAGAACAGAAAACTTACATATTGGCAGAAATTACTTCAAGGAAATCAGTGAGTCTACCTGAGGTAACTACACCTCAGTAATAAACTTTGCCAGGGTGGTATCATCTCAGATCTAACCTGTTTGAGTTACCACAGCCTGTCTGCAGGTTCCTTTGGCCAGTGACACTAAACAGAATACACTGTTAGGCAGGCCTCTCATATAATGCATCATTCAAATCATCAGACCCACTTTAAGCATCCGCCTTCCAAATGCCAGAACAGGAGAGGGGGTACCTTGTTTGTGGTTTGTAATCATCTTCTTCATCCTCAGTACTTTTCTGGTGACCATTCATCATTAGCCAGACTCCAGCTTTCAGAAACCTGTTATGTCAATCCTTTTGTATGGCCAGCAAGGACTACAGTGGAGTAGTTACTTCACTTTTTTATTGTATCTGAAAAAGTATGTGTACATTATTAG